ATCAATGCAATCGCTGAAATCCTGTTATATAACATTTGTAGGGACATCGAAAAGTACGAAGCTCTGGAAACAAATAAATTAAAGGAATCGGCTAGCTATAATTAGGCACAATCGGAAGATGAATCGCCAAAATTGCTCGTTTCCAAAGGGGTAGCGTGACATTGAGTCGGACATATTCATATTAATATGCAAATGAATAATCTGTGAAACAAACAGGAGCAGAGCTAACTCATTGCGAGAAAAATAGTGCCCGATAACACACCGTACATGCTTATACACCCAATTATGGGCTTTCAACTGCTGATTCCAAGGTGATGAAACCATGAAAACAAACATTATCTTTGGGAGTGGCTGTCTGAATTATTAGAACAAAAACAGAAATTTTGTTTTTGAGGTCATTATCTGGGATATGATTTGAGTGGTTGAATCATAAAAACGAGAAAGAAACGTCAATTTCGAGAGAAAAAAAGCAATTGTTGTTCAATTACATTTACTATCTTGAGAATTTTGCTCATTTTGTTGGGCTGCACTCATCGCGTGGCTACAATATTGTGAGATAATATTAATATTAGAATTACAGTTGTGTAATTGTGAGCACGTCTGTTTTTGTAAAATACTAGACAGTTCAAAGAATGCAGTTCATAAAATCCCATGATGAAATACAAAAGAAGTGGCCGGTGCAATGAGTACAATTAAGTGAAACATTGTTTCAACTATGTAGACGGTAGATCTAGATTGCGTCATATAAAACAACATTGCATTGCTTTTCGATGGTGCAGAATGGCAGCCTAATTTTGATAAAAAGGACTGTATAATTAATAGATTAAATATTGAAACATTGTTTAAACTTCGTAATAATTGACCTAGATTGCGTCCTTGAAAACAAATATAGTTTGTACGTGAATTGTCACATTCTGGTGGCAGTAGTTCTTGTGCCTGGTGGAGTAGTAATGTAATTTGATTGGTTGAGCAAATAGCCACCTGGGCTTGTACATCGAGGCAGGAAAGACAGGCTTTTGGCTGTTCACTTGCCAGCGGACCAGCGACGAGTGAGCACAATAAATATTGTGTGCGGAAGGCAGTGGTTTGCCATCATAGCCATGCAATGCAGACAGTTATCAAGTTATGAACTGAAGCCTGTGCAAGTCGTGTGAAATGCATTGTGTTGTAATTGACAAACAACCTAGCTGAGGTGTGGTGGTCGGCGCGCTGAGTGGTCGTAACTTCGTAGTGTCAAGTTTCTGCAGGATTTACTGGGACACGCTGTAGACGCCGGGGTTCAGATTGGAACTTGCTGTCGGGTCTACATTTCTCTTGGTCAACAGGAAACGTTGGCGAGAGAGAGACAGCTGTTTACGTCGCACTAGTTGTCGCTAACTGTGTGGGACCACGCACATTGACCGTCCAGTGTTGAGCCGTGTGTGGTAGTGTATAGCGTTACTGTGTAATTTTATTGTAATTTGTATTTATGTATTTGTAAAATAACGCATGATCAGTTGTTGGTTACCGTAGCGTGGCCGGCCAGGTAATTATTGAATTTGTACCGATTAATTTGGTTTGCAATGTGGAAAGAACTTACTACTGATAATTAATGTGAAGTGATTTAGGCAATTATTTCTAAAGCCAGACTGCTGTAGAGTGTGGGAGTACAATTGTATTTAAATGAACAATATGCATATTGAATCCATAATTCAAAAATATAACCGTTATGTATGTTAATTGTGTTTTTTTGCTTTATGTATATAAATATAATATAATGTACCACGATGTGCTTATTGTGTGCGAGTGCTCGAACGTGACTTTCGTGTATGAACAATAATAACACCCCAAACCTGTGACATGAATGAAGAGCACAAAATGATTTGTTTCCAATAGTTACAACAGTATTTCACATAAAACCATCCCAATTGCGTTGCTAAACAGGCTTGAAAATCATTACTGTAACTTCATTTTTAAAACAGAATGGGGTGCAGTATGAATTTTCTCAAGGGCGCAGAATGATGGCGCAACTAGGGGGCACACAATGCTTATTTTAGGAAATGCGTTGTAGCAGTCCGGTGGCGCAGACTACCTATTTTGAGCCTCGCACATACCTCCCTCTGTGCATGTTTCCGTCTGTCTGTCTGTCCATCATGCCTGGACCTATCATGTTCAAACACCACCCAACCATATATTTTGGAATACTCATGCATATGCATTTGTTTCGCATTCCGATTCAAGACGGTTGAATGGCATCCATTTTAAGTGCTAAAATTTATCAAAATCAAGCATTTCTGTAATTTCTGTAATGAATAGATTTTGTACAACTTGGCATGTACATTGCCCATAATAGGATCTTGATATAGTTCATTTAGTTTTTTCAGATCAGATTCAAAATGGCTAACTAATGAACATTTTGTATTAATAAATGCCATTTTTCTGGAATACCTTGACTGATTTACTATTTCATGTTTTTGTTTATCTGGTGCACTTTTTCAGTTCTTTTTTGAATTGTAGTTGAATTTGTGTTGAAAATCAAAATAAAAGCACAATTTTGAATAAGTTTTAAAAGAAAAACAAAACAAAAACATGTACATCAATTTTGAAAAACAAATTGACAAGATACTTTTTATAATTTTCTTTTTTTGACCTTAAATGAATTCCACTATTTTCAATGAGGAAATTTTCCCATAGTTTGACATGTATATTCTTTGGTTCAGCCACGCTTTGCTGGCTTTAATAAATGACAACATATAAATACAGTGTACTGTAATTAACAGAGATCATTACTCTTGGCCTTCGTTAGAAAGACAGTTGAACATTCATCTTGTCTACTAGTGATTGAGAAGCCTGGTTAACCTTGAACAACATTCTGATTGCAGCAAATTTATCATTGAATTGCAAATAAAAAGACTCAGACTTAATTTAAATAATGCAAACAGGGTAAATAGCTGGCAGTTAACCTCATTTATTATAGTTTATATATCACCACTGATTCGTATAACCTGATTTATTTTTGACGTAGGTTAGCTAACTTTGACAACGAGGATAAGCATGCTACAGGTGTGAAAAGTACAAATGACTCTGGACTGGCAGCCTATGTGGCCTCATTAATTGATCCATCTCTCAACTGGGAACACGTGGAGTGGCTGAAGAGCATCACCAAATTACCCATAGTAGTCAAGGGAATTCTCACAGGTAGGTAATTAAAACGATTTCACTTGTGGCATCATCAAGTCACCATTCTCTCATCACTTCCTTCTATTTACTGTGTCAAAGGTATTCTCTTTGACTGCTGTTTTGTAGCACATCTAAAGCCTGTTTTCTTCGCAAATGTAATTCCCCATTAGATGCTCCATGAACACAATTGATGATATGCAAATGAATGCACTTTGACATTGACTACGTGTATATACCAATGCAGTGTATGCTGCTGAAGCTTCATGTAGGTTTGTTTGGTTTTCAAATCTTTACGTCGCTGTACATCCTTCAGTGCATGGCAGACAAAACTGAGAAAATGTCATTTTACTGGTGTTTATTATGTCAAAATCTTTCTTTGTGAGGCATTTACAATCAGCTCAAACAATTTTGTAGAGGAATGACTTAAAATAACAACTCAATTGTATATTCACATGGTGTAGGCTGATCAGCTGATCACAAACTACTGAAATATTGGATGTATGGAAAAACCAAAAATGCACCAAATTTGGGTGAATTTTTTTTTAACTGGCATCAATATAATTCATAATTCACTAAAAAAATAATAATCAAAATGAAAATCTTTTGTTACATGTGCTTTGTGTATGTTTATTTTTTACAAAAGAAAGAAGAGAGGATTAAATAAGCTAGTTGCCTTTGATTGTAGGGGTCAATTTCAATTTTCTAATTCTGTGTGCGTGTGATTACATATCAAAAATGAGAAAATTTAATTTCATATAAATTTTTTTATATAATTGATTAGCTGAAGATGCATTGGAAGCATTGAATCATGGTATTGCTGGTATACTGGTATCTAATCATGGTGCCAGGCAGTTAGATGGTGTCCCTGCTACAGTAAGTAATCCTACACACATATTCCTTATCAGTTTTGGCTTGCAGCATTGAAATAGCTCTAGCAATTGTGTTTTTTTTTGGGGGGGGGGTGCTTAGCTGAGCAACCCTCTCGATATTTATCTGACATTTTATGTTGCAAGGATGAAGAAATTTTAATTATAAAATCATAAAACTGTAAATACAAAAAGGTGTACTCAACGCTTCATTAATAATTGTTTTATATGTATCATGTGGTAAACACTTTCTTGAAAAAAATTATTACAATTTAGCTGTTCAATATCTTAAGAAATATGAACAGTGATGTATGTTTACCTTACTGGACTTTAAATAAATTCTTTTGTCAGATAGATGTATTATCAGAGGTTGTGCAAGCAGTAAATGGCCAGGTAGAAGTGTATTTAGATGGCGGTGTCAGAACTGGTACAGATGTACTAAAAGCAATAGCTTTAGGTGCTAAATGTGTATTTCTAGGTAGACCTGCTCTTTGGGGACTAGCTTACAATGTAAGTACATGTGTATCTTTGAGTGTGTTTGAGTGAGTTTAACCAGCATTCATTTTAGTGTTTTCATATATTGCCAACTGTCGTTTTTACAGAGTTTGTTAGACACATAATGCCATCTGTCTATAATGTGTATATTGACCCTAGTTTGGATTATGGTTTAACTTTTTCCCCGCCAGACTTTCTCACCCAATACTTCTGGAACTGACCCCTAATTTTGGAACCAACAGACAAAATTTGAGTAAATTTTCAGTCTTTACTAAAAAATTGTGTACATTTTTGTCCCAACTTCTGAAGGAAAGTGGAAACTATAAACTATTTTGCGAATTTGTCATTATATGACCTATTGTATAAAGATCAAAATGATAGAAGAGGATTGCATGGTTGATGTCTGACACAAAATTTATATAAAACAGGAATATTTTTATATACATGTATTCCATTTTTATTTTTCATTCACAAATTAAAGAATTGACTTCTTAAGCCAGTCTGTAAAGGGCGATCTCTTGCAGGTTTGATTTTAGTTGTTTCGTTTTCAGATTCACAGTCAATGTTGGAAAATTATATACCGGTACATTGTACTTTGTAGTTTGTATCTGATTTACTATTAAACCACATTAATTTCACAAGCAAGTCATGGGAAATCACAACATTTTGTTGCAGTGGACATTTTGTTGGGGGTAATTTGGACATTAAATTACAGTCAAAATTTGTCCCCATAAACTTCTTAAATCTTCAAATTTTAAAAATTGCTAGCCGCAAAAATATAAATATAAGTATGTATTTTAGGGAAAAGAGGGTGTACAACAAGTACTACAGATTATAAAGGATGAATTCAGTCTAGCGATGGCCTTATCAGGTAGGTTGGTTCATACTGTCACTCCTGTCATAGTAAAATATGGATGTTGTGTAAAGAAGTAAAACTAATTAATCGATATAAACTTAAATGGTGATGAATGGATTCTTATCACCACCTTATGATATTTATATAATGATAAACATTGTATTCATTTCTGTTTTTTGGTGTCAAAGGTTGCTGTACTGTCAGCGATATAAAACCCTCACTAGTATCTCGACATTCATACGACTGGTGTAAGCTGTGAGACTCTCTTTTATAGTGGCAGTTCAAAAGTTCATCTCAGAATCGTGGAATGAAAGCAACGTACATATCATTTTGTCGTCAAATTAACATTGGTGTGCTGGATACATCAATATGTTGTTGAAAAAGAAATGATTCCAACAATAACAATTATTTTGTTTATTTCTGAGCTGTGGAAATGAAGAGTCGCTGAATTCAACAGTGTGCGTGAAAAATATTAAAAACTGAAATTATAAATAGAATGGCAAACAATCCTTTGAAGAGCTTGTCACTGTGTGAAATATTGCAGCTATGACGGTATGAGTGATTGGAGATTGTGATAGAAATCAAATTAGCAATATTTATAAGATGGAATAAGATGTATTTACATGAAAAAAAATTACAGGCTATTCAAATGGAAAGGATATGATGTCAACGTAGGAATAGTGTTGAATGGTAATTATGTCACATGTCTTATTAACTATGGAGTCAACAGTATTATCATGTTTGAAATATATCACCTTTATACGTCTGTATAAATATTATTATGACATTGATTTATGTGATCCAGGGATAATACATGTAATTATAGGAAGAGTAGTGAGGCAAAAGTAGAACTAGAATTTACTGAAATGTGTCATGCGTATACTCTTGATAAAAAACCATTTCAGTATCATCAAATCAATATGGAATTTTCAGCTTTTGATGAGATCTTATGTGAAGTGACTTCAAAAAGTTCTGAATCATGTGACAAAGAACACTTTCCTGTCAATCTTGACAGCGTTATTTACTGACATTTTTTTGTATTTCTTTGTATAATTCTGACTTGGACATTGATAAAGTCTTGTGCAGAGAAATGTTTTTCAAGTTAGCTTGTAATCAGAAGAGTATCACTTCCTACTACCAGTAAACTAAAAATAATATTTTACAGTGTCAACTTTGTTTGAATAATATACAGCTCGCTCAGCAACAGAATCTGAATTGCAGCAAAGACAGAGAAAAGAATTGCTATGTTCACACGGCAGCATTCTACCAGAGCCGAACTACTGCACCTCCCACCAATTAACAGTAGATTATCTCCAATGCGTTCCTACGGTCGGGGGGCCGAACGAGAGCCGAGATCTGCCATAGTTCGATTCAGTTCGGTTAGAGCCTAATGGAACAGTGCCCTCAGATAATTAGTGTGAAAAAAAACATGGCTGAAAACGATATTGGTGTCGAGCTTGTGTTATTTCTTTACATGGCACGATTTTGTTGATCTGGGATAAAACAAAACACACTCACAATCGAGTCTGGTGTTATGATTTAGGTAATACAACATGTAGTATCTCGAATAAACAGGAAACACGGTAACTGAAATGTGTTACAGCCTATTCGCTAGAAGTTATTGTCATTGTTCAACTGCTGTGATATGTGTTACAGTTGTCAATCTAAACCTACTAGGAACATGTCACCTTACCGTGACTGCTTCTACGATTTTTATCTCTGGTGTCTTTGAAAAGTATCTTCAATTTTCATTGGATCTGTTCAGTCCTTCTTTCAAGTTTTTGTCGCATAATTTCGTACGCCATTTTTCTGTTTCCTGTTGACCTGTCAATCTATCGCAGTATTTTCTTACTCTGCAAAATAGATATTAGGGCACGTACCTCGTTGTCAAATCGGGAAATTGCGTGAAGCTACAAACGATATTGTCTCCACCATAATTGAAATGAGAGGTTATTACTTGAAGTTGAAGAAGATGATTGAGGGCGTGATTTGGGCTCCGATAGTTTATGCCCTGCGTATACACAGGCGGGGCCATGTCGGGGCTAAACCTATCGGAGTTCAACCCCAAGGGTTTATTGGAGCCAAGCTTGGCTCGAGCCGAACGCGTATACATGGTCATTTTTGCTGGCTCGAGTCGTAGGGCTCCGATAAAATGCTGTCGTGTGAACGTAACAAGAGTGTCCGTGTTTGATGGTTGTGTACGAGTTTATGTTGTCTGTAATCCCTTCTCAACCAAGTCACTTGCTGTTGTTGAAAGAGCCGCAATATAAATAAATTTGAAACAAATAAGATTTGATGAATAAGTATTTGCTTTGGAAAGCATAACAATAAACGCATATGATGTCAAATGTAATTGTCTTATACGAGAGATATTGAATTTAGATTTTAATAAAAATAAAGATTATTCAAATTATTCAAGATCTCTTTATCAGATATCAAATTTATTTAAGTGAGTGTCTTTTAATATTATAATGTGTTCCAAGTCTTTCAGCAAGAAACAAATAAATAACAGTAGTACTGTTCTTAACAATGTGTTTATACCTGTACTGTATCTGTGTTATTGATATAAAACTCGTTTTTACATAAATGAGAAGCTTTGGTCAAAATAGGTCATATTTTTATGATCTAGCATCTATTGAATATTGAAACATACTACTACTAAAGCAATTCAGTAGGTCCAAAAATGCGATTCCTTATTTATTAGTCCCCATTCGGACAAAGTCCGAAAACGGGGACTTATAATTCAGTCTCCGTCAGTCTGTGCGTCTGTGCGTCCATCCGGAGTCATATCTCAGAATCCCTTGGAACGATTCTGTTCATTCTTTGCATGTGCCTAGTACTTTATGTGGGACATATGCACATGCAGTGGTTTAGCGATTCGATTCAAAATGGCCGTCTGGCAGCCATCTCGTTTTTTGAAAATGTTGTATTTTGGACATGCTTTGTCAGTTTTCATTCAAATTTAGTACATAGATCATACATGTCAGGATACATGTCCATGACGATTTATTTCGCAATTGGATCAAAGATGGTTGACTGGCAGGCATCTTGTTTTGTTTTTTTATGCGGTATCTTGGACGTGCTCTGTCAGTTTTCATTGAAATTTGGCACATACATGTACAATTATACATGTTAGGATGCATGTCCATGACAATTTGTTTCAAAATCTGGTCAAGAATGGCCGATTGACAGCCATCTGACTTTTTAGCTCCCGTGAAACGGAGCTTATGTGGTACCGGTGTCTGTGGCTCTGTGACTCTGTGACTAAAATTTGTTCCACTGATAACTCAAGA